GTAGTTGTAGAGAGTGATAAGGTCTCTCCTGTGTCTGCTTTTGTCCAGACTAAACAACCCCACTTCCCCTGTCTGCTCCTTGTCAGACTTGTGTTCCAGACCCTTCACCAGATTCACTGTTCTTCTCTGGATACCCTACAGCACCTCAGTGTCTCTCTTGTATTGAGGGGCCCAGAACTAAACACAGGATTTGAAGTGCTGCCTCGCCAGTGCTGAGTAGAGTGGGACAGTTACTTCCCTGGTCCTACTGGCCACGCTATTGTTGATATGGGCCAGGATGCTGTTGGCTTTCTTGGGCACCTGGGCACACCGACAGCTCATATTCAGCTGTTGACCAACATCTGTAAGTCCTTTTCTGCTGAGCAGCTTTCCAGCCTGTAGCTTTGCATGGGGCTGTTGTGGCCCAAATGCAAGACCTGGCACATTGCCTTGTTGACCCTCATACCACTGGCCTCCATCCATCAATCCGGCCTGTCCAGATCCCTCTGCAAAGCCTTCCTATCCTCAGATCAACACTCTCACCGACTTGGTATATTATGCAAACTTCCTGAGGGTGCACGTGATCCCCTTGTCCAGACCATTGATGAAGATATTAAACAGAATTGGCCCCAGTACTGAGCCCTGGGGAACACCATTTGTGACCTGACACCAATTGGGTTTAAAATCCATTCACCATTATTCTTTGAAGTCAGCCAGGTTTTTACTCAGAAAAGAGTATACCCATCCAAGCCATGAGCAGGATTAATCCATCATCCTTGTTTCGTAATATTGTCTGTGACTTCAAAAGATCTTTGCTTTATTGTCCTTAGCAGCTTGCATGGTGTGGCAGAGGGCACAAAGTGCTATAGCACATCAGTACTCCACACTTGATGGTGACAAACATATCTAGCAACTTGGGCAAGGGCACTTAATGACAGCAATTTAGCTGACTCTTGTTCCATCATTTCAGATTTCAGATTTACTAGTTTTATTTTATTATTTATTTATTTTATTTTATTATAAGCCTGCTCCACTGGGTGCCAGAGGCTTCCAGTCAGTCATTTCCAGTGGAAAGGAAGGAGACAGCTTGACTGAGAAGATCAAAAACAAACCTGGGACTCAGTCCAAAATAGAATCATATCTATTTTGAGGATTTGATTCCTAGATTTAATTAAGGAATTCTTTGGATTGTCAAACAGTCCTGTGGCTTTGCAGCAAGTACAGGAGGCTCTTGATTCACGTGTTGGAAATCTGGCCCCCTCCTCTGCGGCATGGTGGTGGGATGAGGATTCTTTCAGAGAGAAGTCATCTGCACATCCCTGGGGGAGCTGGTTTTATGGGCTGGCTCTGACTGCCAGTGGTTCACTTGGGGAAGAAGTGTTTCTTTCATGGTGTCGGGAGGGGGTGGTTGACAAGCCTGTTGTGTTTTGCATGGGGAGAAGAAAATGATTTGTCAGTACTTTAATAGAATGGATAGTTGATAGGAATCCTTTGTGCTGGTTAATACCAGCTGGGCTTTGCCTCAAAAGGGGAGATATTCCACTTGGGAACAGCATTAATAATGTTGTATGACAGTATACACAAATCATCTGCTTCTGGTATGAATGGTCCTGCAACCCTTGACAGCAAGTTACTGCTGTATTTGGAAACAGCCTTACTCATGACTCCGGGATGCAAATGATACAACTGCTGGCTACCCCATCACCCCGGCTCGTTATGCTGAATAGGGCCAGAGGCCAGAGCCATGCTGTGCCACTGCCATGTGATGTTCTAAGTGACAAGCAGAGTGTGAAACGACTGAGGATATGATGTGAGGGTAATAGCATGTGGAAGCAGTGCTGGTGGAGGGAGGCTGAAGCTCTGCAGCAGTGCTGCCGTACCTGTGCCAGCTGTGGCTGCAGTGGATGCACAGGGCAGCCAGCTGTTGCTCTGCTCATGAACCCACCCTCTTTTTCCTCCAGATGTTACTGCTCACCGTCACGGGCAAACCCAGCCTTTATCCTCCAAATGGATCAATATTCCCTAACTCCATTGCTCAGTTCCCAGGGCCCCTTTGCCAGGGTGGCAACTGGGAAATTAGCTGGATAGATGTTTGGTTTAATAATGAAGATATATATGTATAATAATATGATCAGATCTCAAATAATGAGCTCAGTTTTTTCCCCCTTATTCTTGCTTTCCAGGGAATGCTGGCAGGTTTGGCTCTGTGCATCATACCACAAAAATCTCACTCCTCCAGAAGAGGGCTAATACACGAAGGAGCTTTCTACCAGGCTGATGTATCACACATGCTCTATATATCAGCTTGGATTTCTTCAGTCCAGACAAAAGGATCAAAGACATAGGGAGGGGCAGGCGTATGGGGAAGCTTTAATTTTTGCAGGCGTGGAGAGCAGGGCAACATAGCATGGCTAGAAAAGCTAGACATAGCCAAATGTAAGAAACTGTGTGCTCAGAAATTGCCTCTGAAGCTTGCAGAGCAGCTGGTGTCACTTTCAGCTGACATTTGTACACCTGAAACGCATACAGTGCAGCCAAGAGCAGGAAATACAAGTTATGGACAAAGGTTTGTTGGATGCAGGACTAGGAAATAAAATGTTGTGTGGTCCAGGTTGCCTTTTTATGGATTTATATCATATTATCTACATGAAGCTAAGGCAGGTATTAATCCCAAGGCTGAAATATTGCTAGGGATGGGAGTAAATTTAAATGTATTCAGCTAAACTATTTTTCAAAAGGATGCTATTATAAGCTCTGACAGACATGTCCACCTTTCAACAGGCAGACATCTGAGATCCTGCCATTCTTCTCTAGCTCTGAGTGTGTTCTACAGTCACACCCTCAACTTGGAGAAGTTACCTGTGAAGAACAGCAATGGTAGGTATTTAACAGCAAAAGAAAGAAGGATGTCTGTAGGAGGAGCTACTCAATAGTAGTGATTCAAAATTTATTGCAAGTCCCAAATATTTAAGGTTTTTTTCCAAACATGATTTACGAGGTTTCCTGTGCTTACTAAATGCTTGTTAAGAAACTGCATGGTGCCTTGTCTTTGAGTTTTGACTAGGAATCAGTAACACCCACTCAGTAGGGTTTCAAATACAAAGTGCTGGATTTTAAGACAGTTTAATGTACAGGAAAGAACAGACCTTCAGCCTGCTGTCAGCTAATCTGGTGGCAAATGGACTCTATCTAGTGACACACAAGGGGGAATGGCTGTAAACTGACGGAGGGGAGATTTAGATGGGATTTGAGGAAGAAGTTCTTCCCCGTGAGGGTGGTGAGGCCCTGGCAGAGGCTGTCCACAGAAGCTATGGCTGCCCCACCTCTGGCAGTGTTCAAGGCCAGGTTGGATGGGGCAACCTGGTCTAGTGGAAGGTGTCCCTGCCTGTGGCAGGGGTCTTGGAACTAGATGATTTCTCAGGTCCCTTCCAACACAAATCATTCTATTATTCCCATAACTGTCCTCCAGTGAGGAAAATCTTCTGCCTAGCCTCTCAAAAAAACTGAAGAAACAGCTTTTTATGGTGAATTATTGTGTGAGGATGAAAGATTCATCAATGCACTGAGTTTTCCCCAAGCTTGCAATGATGTGACAATGCCAAGAAGGTTTGGAACAAGATGTAGTTCCTTTCAGTGTGGCTGATCAGTAGCATCCCTCTTACCCACAAAGTGGCCCATGGGCTGTTTGATATACGTTTGCATACCTTTGCATAGCAAAGACCTGTATTGCATGGATGCACTAGCTCACTCCTATGTTAGCTCAGGCCTCTCTGGAATGTTTTTTCCTGATTAATATAGGCACCTCTGTCTCCAAAACTGCTAACAAATTGATCATAATGGATGCTCCAAAGGTAAAAAATCTGAGCTGTCATGACCAGCCGTCAGTGGGACCTGTCCTGCTGTATACTGAAAAGTACTGATGCAGAAGGTCACAGGGCTGCTATGGCGGGGGGTGTATTGTGGCTTTCGCTCTCGGGATTTGTCCCTTAGAGCAGTAGTCTCTTTCCATGCCAAATGGTTGCATTCCCCTTTGCTGGGCCACCCTTGATCTAGACAGGATAAGAAATGACAGCGCACATCTGGAAAAATCCTGCAGATCTCTTGACCTTTGGCTGTAGGAATGGCTGCTGGCTCCTGCTGCAGAACTGCCTCCTCCTCCCCCGTCCCCTGACACAACATATATATACACATAGCTTTCGTCTGTGCCAGCTTTTACTGGGGACATGAGGCTCACTGGAACTCAAATGAGACTTGCCAAGTCCAAGAAGACAAAGTCAGACTTGTGTTAGTGTTGTGGAAAGAGGTGCGGGAGGTCCTGTTCCACCTCATCCCCACCAGCCCAACACAAGTTTTACTGTTCCTTGATGATATATTTTCATTGCAGGAATTGCTGGAGAGCACGGCACAAATTTTTGTTCACTCTGCCACTGCCTAGGTTGGCAGGAGGTGTTGCTAAGCAGTCATTGTGAGTGTTTGTATACACTCAGAACCAGGTTACTGTGAAAATTTGGGAAAGACCCACCCTGGAGGTGACATTCTCACCAGCATAAGCCGACTCCCTGAGCAGTTTTCCATGGGTGCAGGGAAATTGTCAGTCTTTGCAAACATTGATCTGATTTTCTGTTACAGAATGCCAGGGTTTTTTTCTGGTTTTACAGCCTCCTGTGTAGTGGCAACCTGATAGGATATCCGCAAGGACTGTGGCAGCCCTGATTGCAGTAAAAGAGGGAAGGAACTGTGCTATTGAATGCTGCAACATTATTACACAAATTCATTTACAGCATCACTCAGGGACAGGGAGTGTGCATGGAGTAACTTTATCCCTAACATTCCATTTGTTTGGAAATTGGTAGTGGATGCAAACATAGCACCTCTTTTGGGTGCTGTCAGGGTAGAAGAAACCAAGCACCCTCTACTCCTCCAAATCTGACTCAACTGTTGCTTTGCAGAGGTTTCTCATCAGATCATGAAAGTCATAATACCACTGCCTTTAGAAGCTTACTGAGGTCTCAACTGGGAGGTGGGAAGGGATGCTTAAAACAGAGGCTCCTGGATCCATGACAGGACTGAGTGTGAGAGCAGTTCAAGGGAAGTCTTAACCAGCGGGAGGCCAGAACAACAGTTCTGGTACTGTATCCTGATCTTGCTTCAGTGGATTTACAGCTGGTTCCTTTCCTGGAATGAAAAGATTAGAATCACTGGAGCTGCGTGTGCGTCTTCCAGCGAGGAGAACTAGGTATGCAGCAGCTGTAAAAATAAAGAGCCCTCTCAGGCCATCATAGTAAAAAGGTTTGGAAACTGTTGAAAGTGGGGTGGGGTGGGAAAATCCTCAAATTTCCTACTTTTTTTTTTTTTTTTTTGTATTATGAATTTCAGCATGTCAATTTTGAACTTGGTTTGAAAGAAAAGGATGAAAATTCCATGAAATTGGGGGGAAGAGTCCTAAGATAAAAAAAAAAAAGGTTTCAAAACTTTCTTGAAAACTCTAAAGAATTCTGTTTGGTTTTGCCTTCTTTGTTCTGTTGCTGCTTTTCCCAAAAGCAGTGCAGATATGGGACAGCCCGGCTGCAAGAAATCAAGGATACCAAACCTGACGAGAGGAACTTCAGAGCAGTTTGACAAGATTAGACTGTGTACTTCATTATGTGGTTAGTTCAGCTTATATTCATGCTTTGGGTATCCAGCCGAAAACCTACAGGAGTCAAGAAGGGAACATGCAGGTATATGCCTGCAGGTGATGAGAGATTTACCTGTGTGAAATTCAGAAATTTAAGTATCAATTTCTGAAGACAACACAGTAGAAGACAAATAAGAAAAATAGTGTATTAACCAAGTCTAGAAAAGACTGGGTTAGGAACTGGAAAGGTGAGTTTCATTTATATCTTCTGATAAAACTTTTTGTAAAATAAATAGAATAAGACATGGCCGTTTTGGTATTTAATGCGTGCTGCAGTGAAATCTCTTACCCACTTTAATAAACTTTTGATCTCATGAAAGCCAAAGTGCAACATAATGCTTCAGTGAAATTAGAATGGCAAAACTATCTTTTGCTCTCTGTTTTCTCTGACTTCACCTGAAGTGTGAGATCTGTTCAGAGGAGCCTTCATCTTACACTGATGGTGTTGGTGAGAGATGGCACTAGAAGCTGTAAGACCCCTTTTTCTTTCCCTCCTACCTGGGTGTAGGCAACCAGTAACTCAGCACCACCACAGATTTTCCTCCTAGCCCTGACATGGCCACAAAAACCCTCTTTTGGTATTGCCATGGGAGGCACTATCTGAGGAGGTTCACAACCCGTGGTGCAGGTAGTGTTAGTTTGAGGGAATGGGATGGTGCCCAGATAGTACTGCCAAGCCATGTAGGTTCATTCAGGATAACCACACCACTAGGTTCACAGAATCACAGAATCACAGGATAGTTTGGATTGGAAGGGACTTTAAACATCATCCAGTTTCACTTTCTTCCTTACTTCCACTAAACAACTTCCATTAGATCAGGTTGCTCCAAACCCCTTTCAACCTGACCTTGAACACTGTCAGGGATGGGGCAGTCACAGCATCTGTGGGCAACCTGTGCCAGGGCCTCACCACCCTCACAGGGAAAACTTCTTCAGATCTCATCTAAATCTCCCCTCTGTCAGTTTAAAGCCATTCCGCCTTGTCCTGTCCTTATCTGCCTTTGTCCAAAGCTCCTCTTCAGCTTTCATTTCTGCCCTTTATGTTCTCGAAGGCTGCTCTAAGGTCTCCCCGGACCCTTCCCTTTTCCAGGCTGAACAAGCCCAGCTCTCTCATCTTGTCTCTGTAAAAGAGGTGCTCCAGCCCGTTGTTCATCTCTGTGGCCTCCTCTGGACTTGCTCCAACTGCTTCACATCCTTCTTATACTGGGGCCTCAGAGCTGGATGCAGGACTGCAGAGAGGATCTCACAAGACTAAATGTTTTTGCTCACTAAACTGGGATTGTTAATTTCAAGCTCACTGGCTCATTTATTCAGTCTCATTTTGAGACCCTTGGACTTCACCTACCTCTTTATTTACCTCTAGGAATGCCCCTTAGTTCAAGTGGCCATGGTCTGTCCTTCCAGCATGGTGTTTTTCAGTTCCACACAGGCAGGAAAGCACTGCAGCATGTTACATATTTGGTTCCTCTCATCTTCATTCTATTTGTTTTCTAGACATGGAGACTGCTATCCTGGATCAAGCTACAGGTCCAGAATCTGTTCTGACTCTTGAGCAGTGGCAAGTGCCATCTGTAAAGAAAAAGCACAAAAGCCTCCTAATAAAAAATTATGGAAAGTTGCCCTTGGAAAGTTTCTTCTTGACATATATTGGCATGAAATCATTTTATTCTGAGAGTTTCCATGCCCTCCCCAGAAATCCTTATTAGTCTTCTTGCAAGGTCATTATTAAGATGTTTTAAGTACGTAAGACAACACTAGGATTTGCAGAAATACTTGTTGATGTTTTTACCTCCTTAATAACTTTTCACAGCCCCTCACAGAATTTGTTGAGCAAGACTGAGACTAGAGTCTGTTTTGGACTTGGTCCTAGAAAACAAGCCAAATGTGATAAATAAAATAAAACATCTGGAGGTCTACCCATCAGAATATCATCAGATATCTACTGATTCTGAGGGAATGTTATGTAGGGAAGGTAATAATCTGAAGTGGTGGGCTTTTCATAAAATACAACTCTGAAAGAATGTAGAACGAGACAAAAAATAATGTTGATCTGAGTTGATTGTCTAAAAAATTTACTATGGAAAATCATGAGGCCTGTAATGAATAGTTGGAACGCTTTAACAAATGTCTGTGCCAGTAAAATCTAAATATATATTTAAAAACCAAAGATAACAAAGTCAATCTTGCTAAGCAGAGATGCAAAGAACAATGCAAAGGATAAACACTGTTGAAAGGGGAAAAAAGCCAAATAAGGTTCTAATTAGTGGGAGGGACTGAACAGATTACACAAAGAAGATAAAAACAAGGAAATGTAATTGGAAACACAGCAATGTAGTATCAAACAATCCAAAGTATGTTATCTACTACAAATGGGTTTTCAGGTCTTTCCACAGCAAGTGGTGAGTAAAAAGGTTGATGCTCTTGAGGTTAGAAGACAGGATGCATGGAGAATAAAAAATATCAGTCATGATTAAAATGCCCAAATTGAGTAATAGGCACATGCAATCCTTCCCCCACGGTAAAGACTACTATTTCACTCTCAGCCCTCATGGAAATACATGAGCATACTGATCTTAAATACGTGTCCAATGTTACATATTCAAAGAGTTGAGTAAAATCCTGCTGGTTTTCCATTCCTTTCAGTGCTGCTGGAAATAGAATCCTAACCACTGCTACCATGTCATCCCTCTGTGGTGGCACATGTAGAAAGAGTATTTGTCTGAATTTGGGTGACCCATTGAAGATGTTAACTGTAGACTTTGTGGTGTAGAAGCAGGAAGCATTGGTGGGTCTTCTCACTCCCGAGCCAGAAAATGATGTGGTAAGTGCTCCTTACAGAGTTAAAATGGTTAGAGAAAGACCTCATGTTTGATTAGGCACAGTGTATATGAATAGACACTTAATCAAGGCCTTTGGTGCTCCTTTGGGGAGTCAAGTCTAAATCCCAATTCAGAGGAAGGATGGACAGCTAACCTTTAGCAGAAAATCACTCTCCTGAGTTTATGGTGTCTGTGTCTACCATATGCGGCTGCACCTGGGGGCTGGAATATGACCATTTGTTCTCCAAGTACAAGCATCCTTATAAAACACAAACAAACAAACAGCAATTCTCAGAGCTGTGTGGAATTACCCTTCTTGGTGTCCTTGTCATAAGCCACAGAATTAACTGCACAAGAAAAGTGGCCCTTTTTTCCTCCAAAACTTTTGTATTTAAAGACAAGGGAAGAGATTAAATCTAGGGAAACACTTCCTGGTTAATAACACATTGGCTGCCCTTCATTGCTTTCTGTCTCCATGGGTTATGATTTTCTCGAGTTGATGTCCCAGCTTTGACTCTCAATACACTGAGATTGAGCACTTCTTAGTGAAAGGTTCAGAAGTCCCTGGGAGTGATCTGCTTTGGTTGGGTACTCAAGTGCCACAGCAGTCGTTTCTGTTCATTGAAGTGACATGTACAGCTTTTGCAAGTTGCTTCATAAAAGGAAGATCACTTTTGCGAATGGCTTTCTTCAGCACTGGCTTGGGTGCTGGGCATTGCTTGACAAATTCACCCCTTGCAGAGAACACAGGCTTCCTTGCTGCAATTGTATAGATTTGGCTGCTCCCTTTCCAACCATCAGTTGGCAGTGCCAACTCCTCTAGAATTTAAAACACAGGCATATTTGTGGTCATTTCTACTTATTTTGTAGGGCTTTGCTCAGCAGTACTTGGAACACGTTGGCCTCAGATTTCTGGCAGAAGACTGCAGTGCTGCTATGCCTCTTATGAACACAGTGTTTGTCTATCTGTTTCTCTCTCTATATATCTGTCTATCCATCTATCAATCTATTCTATCTCTGCTCTAAGCAAGCTCACTTATGCCTGGAGTGGGAAATCTGCCTTTCTTGCTCAGGGATCAGTATGCAAAACCCCAACCCCTATCTTAGAAGCAGCTGTCCTCATTTTCCAGATTTTGCTGTTTATTTTCATAAATTAGACCATGGGACCATTGTTGCTGTTAGTCCCCTTCAACCTGCTGCTATAGATGGCAAAATAACTTCTAGATAGAAGCTGCCTTGCATTTTTGATCTTTAAATAATAAAATATATATAAAAAAATTTAATCAGGCCTTTTCCCTCTTTTGCGCTATTCCTAGCAAAAATGCCACGAATGCACTTTGCCCTTCCCTCCTTTTTTTTCCTAAATGCTGGTAAGTGAGCAGCTGTAAAGAGAAGACAGTTCTACTGTCTTTCCTACTAACTAGTGTTTTTTAAGGGTCAGTGAATAATTAAAACTTGCCAGCACTGGTCCCAACATCCCCCTTGGTGTCTCAAAGAGATTAATAATGTGCAAATGTTGTTTCACAGCCTTGACTGCTTACCCTATAAGCGTGGTGGCAATAAGTGACCCCACCTCCCAAGTACTGACCAAGAGAAAGCAACAGGGCAATGGTGAAATATCTCTCTAAATAAGGACAGGAAAGATGGCTTCAGAAAGTGAGTGCCATCTTGACTTAGCATGTGGTAAACTTTTGGAGTTATTGCCGGTGACCAAATGCAAAAAGGTCTGACATACGTTCTTTTGAGAAATTTTAAGCTGGGGAAGATGCTGTGGTTGAGGCTTGCATCTCAGATATGGAATGATAGAGTAGGAGAAAAATTTTGGCACAACAGCCAAAGGTCAAGAATGGCAGTGCAGACAAAAGTGGAAAATTTTGAGGCAGGACAAAGGTTATGAAGTTAGTGATGGGATCAGACTGCCACAATAGCAATACCGAAATGCAGCAATTGGAATGATTCATCCATGCAGAGTTGTTCCTCTCAGGAACCAGGATAGGGTTTGCTCCCTTGGGGTTCAGTCTCGCCAAGCTGAGCTTTGCTGTTTTACTGATGGGGGATTGCTTGGTTTATCAGACTCTGACAAATCACTGTATGTGTGACCCTCAGTTTCATGTGGTGATGGTCTCCCTTTTCTCCACACTTCCAAGACAGCCTTTCCTGTGAAATTCATACTGTACCATAGGCAAATTTGGTCAAAAGAGACTGCAGGTCACCTTGTCCAAGCTCTTGCTCAAAGGAGGGTCAGAGATGAGGACACATCACTCGTGGTTTAGCTTATATTTAGCTCATTAATTGGGAAAGGAAAATGAGCATTCTTTAGTGCTCATGTGAAGGACAGCCTTTCGTGAATCAAGCGAGATGACATTTTACTTTTCGTTCCCAACCCTGTGACAAATTTTGATGTCAATCAAGCAGCATTTCTATTCTGGCCAATAGACCCTTTCAACCACTTTAGAAGCCACTGATTTCAAAATGACCCAAAAGTTGTGAAGAAGAGCCTTTGTTTCTCTGGTTTCAGGGATTCATCTGAATTAGGTATAGTTCCTCACTTACAGTGAATGACATAAAAAGATGGACCTCTGCAAGCAGAATGGAAGATCTAGAGATAAACTGAAGAACAAAGACTTAGCACTGAAGACAACACTGCTTAAGCCTAGCTGCAAAAGAAAGTATTTTTGAGGCTTCTACTGCTACTACATTGGCTTTTATAGCTTGTAACCTTTCAGAACACCAGGTGAAGTGTGGCGCTGACAATATCCTCATTCTGCAAGTAGAAACTGGGGAAGGTATAAAGAAAGAGTAATGCTCATTTCAACATTAGCAATCTAAAATTTGATATCTTGTCTAAGTATCTTGTCTGGAGTATCTGAAGCTAGATATGCATATATAGAGGGCAAATTAACTGACTCACAGGAATCTGTCTTAAATGACTCTTTCTCAGAGGGTCAGTCTGATGATTATAAATGAAATGGAAGAGGGATGCTGAAAAGTGAGCTAAATACTTTGTTTCAAAGCATTGCTTCTGATTTGAAAGACCTGTTTTGTTTGGAATTCCTTTTTCAACATTAAAGACAAAATGCATTCTACATTCTAGAGTGTTTAGTCTAATAAACTAATAAACTCCCAATAAATCTATTATCTTATTATTTTAGACACTCCAGATTCTGATATAAGCCCATTTTCCGATAAATAACTTTGAAGACTGTGATTTCTGTTCATTGCTCTTGATTATATTGCTTCTTGCTGGAGGCAGATGAGGTTGCAGAACTGTCTACTAGGCTTAGCGATGGGTACCCTGGAAATCACCCTGCTAAGTGATTTCTCTGACTTTCTTAACTCCACTTGATGTCCTGACCTGGTTGCACTACATCTACAAAGCTGACACATCTTCAGAATGACTTTGCAGAAAGATCCACTAAGGGTTTCTCTAAGGGTGATTATCAGCTGGTTTTCATCTTAGCTAGTTTTTTATCATTATTAGTCTCTTTTTTTCTCTTTTTTTCATTTTTTTTCCCTTTCCTGTGCTTTTGTTTAGAAAAATCAATAAATCTCCCAGAAAAAAAAAAAAAATTCCTGAAAGGTTAAGGTGCATGAAGCCACATTAGCTATTAAAAGTGTCTGCAGGGCACAGTTCCCAGTCAGTGGATGTGGGGGTGGGATTTCTTTCATTTTAATATCAGATGCCTGCAAATTATTTAAGTCTGTGTTAGTCAGTCAATTCTGCCTGTATAGTGAAGGCAGCCTTCAGACACCCATTCACTCCTTGGCCTCCAGGTTCGATTTCATTATAGGTGTTTATCATCGTGTTTAAAAGAAAAACAAAAAAGCAAACCAACCAACCAATCCCTAAAATGGGTTCTCCTTTG